GTAGATATTTTCTCTTAACTACTTTTAAGGGAGAGTGATATAGCTAGGATTAGAACATTCTTTTTTAAGTATATTATATAACGAGTAAACGAAATGTTCTCACCCAAAATTTAACGAATTGTTATATTGGTAATCTAGGTTATGTTTATCTCAAATTCACACCTTTAAAATAACAGTATTAGCAATTTTTAGGGTTTAAAAGATGTAATTATCATAATGTCATTAATCCTAAATTAATAAATTATGTTTTAACTCCTAAATTAGTAGAATTATAAAACTTACTATTTCATTTTCAAATTATATCAAAAACATCCTCGGTCACTACACACCCTCATCTGAAACAGCCTGATCTGAGTTGTTTTTGACGGCGTCAAACCCCCTGGTCACCTCCATCACCTTCCCCGTAGTCCATCATCCAAAATCTCTCTAGTTCCCAACTCATTAGCCCCTCCAATCGTCAGCGCCATTAGGCTTAGGATTTCGGTGTTCTTCACTGGATTCCAGTCGATTCCGATGGCGAAAATCCAATTGGACACCACCATGCAACCACCGTCTCCAAATCTATAAAACCCCTATGTCCCTAGCAACCGTTTTGTTGCCGTTCGTCGGCCGAGAGTTCATGTTCATTGACCCTTTTTTGGTGAAGTGGTGGACGACAAACGATGAGCTGTCGTGGCTGGGAAGGTTAGGAGTTTTGTAGGGGAGGATGCGAGGAGTCAAATGGTGGTGGTGGTTCGGGTTGTCGCTGTTCAAAACAGTAAAAAACTGGCAAAAACCAGTCGCATGTTGCGGCTGCCATGGTCGGCGATTGGCGAGTGATGAGGGGTTGTGAAGGGTATGGTTTTGTAGAGGGGAGGGTAGGAGTTCAAATGGTGGTGACAAGGGTGATTTTGGGTGGAAGAATCACCGGAAAAAAGGCAAAAAATGTCGGGGACGCCGTCTGCTAATGTACGCCGGAGGACTATTAGAGGTGGCAATCTGCTAACGTGCACCACCCATGTAAAATGACCAATTTACCCCTTTACTGTTACATCAAACATTTTTCCGTTACTTTAAGGATGAGAATCTGGAATAAATGTAACATGGGGTACCAACTTGGGATTTCGTCAAACCTTGGGTGGGAATCCGTCGTTTACTCATATAAACAAAATTTTAGTACATCATGGATTAGGGAGGAAAATATATGTAGTAAAATTTGACATTTTATTTTTTAAATTAGGAGAATAAAAAATTAAATCTAATTAAAATTTGTAATGTTAGTTGCTGGAATATATATTAATCAATTTGCATAGATTTAATTTAAGGTATACAATTAATTCCTTAAATACAAGGTGGTGCCTTAATAAAAATATGTTATAGTTCATATCTTCAATGTATGAAATTTACACTAACGGGGATATTATATGGGCCTCTAAAAGTATTCTCTATATCCCTCAAAATTTCAAATTTGAAGAATTAAGTCCCTGTTTGTTACACTGTTCCAGATCATTATTCGGTTATCCTATTTGGATTAAAAAATAGGATATGTATTTATTTACTTATTGGGTCAATCTAATTTGAAAATTAATCCAACTCAAATAAGATTTTTTTTTTTTTGTAGGGTGGGAGTCTAGGGGTGTATATGAGCCAGTAGAGAATATGAACACTTGAACTCAGTTCGTGATGAATAGTGTCAAGTTCGAGCCAAGTTCGTTTGAGCTTGAATACTTGGGCCCGAGCTCGAGCTCGCAAGTATGGGTGGGTACTCGAGCTCGTGCTGTAGCTCGAGTAATCAAGCTTGAATGAGCTCAAGCTTATTGTGAGAATGGGGTTGTTTGTTATTTTAAAAACTTGATAATAAAAAAATGTTACAAAACTTGCAATTTGGCCCACGAGCCTCATCAAGTCGAGCTTCACTCGGATCGAACTTGACTTGACCCCTTAAATGAGCTACTCGAGCTCAAGCTCAACTCAATTGACTTCGAATCAAGTTCGAGCTTTTCATGAGCTGAGCTCGAGTAGCTTGCGAACTGCTCGACTCGCTTCTCATTCCTAGGTGAGACTTGTTTTCAGATTATCCAACTTAATTCAATTGAAAACATTTTTCTTTTTCTCCTCATTTTTCTCTCATTCTAATCTAAAAATTAATCTACTCAAGACCATAATTGCCTGCCGATGACCATCGCCAGTCGACGTGGCCGGAACGGCGTATGACTGACTCGATCTGACCGATCTGCTGTTTCTGAAAATAAATTAACTTAACCAAAATAAATTTAATAGATTGATATTTAATCGGAAAGGAAAATTCTTCGAAAATAAAACAGAAAAATGTTATTATACAATTTACTTTTCTCATTCAATATCAACTAATACTTTTTTGTTTTAATTGTATTTTTATGTAATTGGTTACTAACAGTTCATTATGAATTTATTAAATTAGGTATTTTAAAATCATATACAGTAAAACCTCTCTATAGTGGTACTCTATATAGGAATAACCTTTATTTAGTCATAACAAATTATAGTCCCAACTTGGGATGATTATAAATTATAATAAACTCCATATTGTAATAAGTTCTAATTTTTTTAATTCTCGTCCTAAGAAAGTTGCCTTCATATAATAATAATTATCTGTCTATTGCAAAAAAATATATGATATGTTAAATTAAAAATTAAAAATGAAATAAAATATTTATCTAAAGTTATTTGTGACAATGATTTATGCTTTAAAGTTGCTATCACATCTTTTAATTTGTAGGTACGTAATAACTCATTAGCATAGACATCTTTTTTTTAAAGTCAAAATATTTCTCACTTCTCAAACATGTTTAAAGTTTTTTTACACGAAACTTTTTGTATTTCCGTATTATTGTCCTCGGGATTGTCTCCTTTATCTTTTTGTCTAATTGTAACAATGATTTTTTCTTCCGTTAAAACATACAACCATACATGACTTGTTGGGTATATAAAATATACCATAAATTAACCTTTCTATACTAAAACAATGAATTGAAATTACAATACATACTATTAAAACGTGAATTATAAATTAAAAAATCAAAACAGTATTTTTTGTAATTACATTTCGATTAAATTATAATTTCTTTATAGTAAAAAATCAGTTTGATCTTACTAAAATTTCTATAAAGAGATATTACCGTGTATATATTTTAGGTGAATTTATTTTGTTTTTTAAATTAATAATTAGTGTGCTAAAAAAGTTGTGAATAGTATTTTCCGGGAAGTATATATTCTCATTATAATTCTAAGAACATACAATATATATGTTTTAAATTAATAATTAATGTGAGTAAAACTATTCATATAAAGTCATTTTACAAATATTAATTACAATTTATTTTGTGAAAAATTATTGAGTTTTAAATCAATAACTGCTATATATCTAAGTTAATAAGAACATATCTAAGAAAGTCATTTTAAGAACAAATAATATATGTATTAACCTTGTTTGAGACGTATAACGTACTTAAAAGATAATATTAATTGCAATTTATTTTGTTTTCCATTAATTAACCCACACAAAATTGAAATAAAAGTCCCTTAAAAATAAGAAGAGTTAAAATAAAATAAAAAGGAAAAAAACAAAAGGGCAATGGCAGGTGGGCAAGTGGTAAGCGGTGACTGAACACACCAACCTCGAGGGCTCATAAAAAGAGAACGTTAAATTTTAAGCAGCCAAGCAAAGAAAAGCACTGAGTTTGAACCCGTGTGGGAAACCCTATTTTACCATAAATTAAGTCAAGGAAATACTCTCAAATGGGCATCCTCACCCTCCTTCTCATGGACTCTTCCGTATTCTCTAAATTTTGGATAAAAAATATTAGATTATATTTGTAAGTTTTTTTGTGTAGTAGAAAAAGTCATAATTAACCATAATTACGTGATCTAATGGTAAAAGAATAAAAATAAACTCCATAAACTTTTGAATTTGAGTTTTTCAAGCACTAATTAAGGTGATCATTAAGACTCTTATTCGATTCACAGTTTCAAAATTTTAAAAAATTAGTTAAAGTATGCATAAACTGGTCCAGACACTCTGATTATAATAATAAAATAAAAAAGTCATAATTGATGAAAACATATGGAAAGTTTTTGGTATCATTTCTTAAATGGCTATAAGAATAACATTGACTTCTAACATTTATTTCCTAAAAATTGAAAGATTAAAAGGAATTAATTAGTATGTAATAAAACTATGTTCACTGTACAGCTAAGCATGAGCCACTGAAAAAAAAAAAAAAAAAAACAGAAAAGCACCAATAGTATTGAAGCCAATACATTAAAAGCGAATAAAACTAGTAGCCATTTGTATATATATCCTTTCCACACTTCATTTCCTCTACAATACTACTGTTATCATTCTTGTGAGTCTCCTAATAACTCTCTTTTGTACATCTTTCTTTTATTTCTTCCCACTTATTATTTACTCTTCAAATTTATCATTTCTGTTGATTAGATTCTTTTTATCTGGAAAATTGTTTGATAATTCTCCCTCTCAAAGGCCATTTTCGCCGGAATCTGACAAGGGTATTGCTGCAAAGTGTATTCTTGCCAGAATCTAATCGGAGAAATCTTACCCAGATATCGAAAACTGTAGATTTTGATGGTACTTATTTATCTTTTGATTACTTTTGTATTTATCTTTTTTTGAGAATAAAAATAGGGTTTTGGTTTTGGTTTGTTTGGTTTCGGAGTACTTTTGGAGTTTAACTTGGTAGATTCTTTCTTTGGTGCCGTTTCACAATAATCACTTTATGTTTCAACCACTAGCAACCGGCCACGTCGGCTACTTTCTAAGCTGTACAAATAGTTTTGTATAACTATTCAACGAGATTTTTTTTTTTTTTTTTGGGTTTTTGATGAGATGATATTTCTTCTGTATTTGGTTACGAATGTAAAGTTTGAGTGCATGGATAGATTGACAGTCGTTGTTTGCGGATGTAGCATCATCAAGATTCACATGCAAATGCAGGGTAGTGATGCAATAATCTCTGCCAAAGTTCTTTGAAAGTGAGAATCTTGATGATGCTGCATCGGCAATAAACGACTTATAAAGGACTACTGAAAAGTATTAATCCACATCTCACCAGTGCCACTTTGCACTTCTGTATTCAACAAGATGATTCCATCTACTTTCCTTTCTGTTGCTGTCAGGTGGGTGTGGTTTATTTTCTATTTCTATTTCTATTTCCTTTGCCTTTCTATAATAGGCCTATCCATTAAATGGGTTTCAGTCTTTTTTTTATACATACGCTCCTTTTCCACTTTGCAGGGAACGATAAGATCTTGTTGCAGGCTATTGAAGATACATATAGCTAGCTCCTTATTCATGAGTTGACTTTGCAGATCTATCATTTTCTTCTGAGCACACTATACTCTGATGGAAAATAGAAGGCACTTTGTTAATAACCAGAGAGATAAAAGATTCTTGGTGAAGCTGCATGTCAAAGCATAAGCAAAAGGTGAGTTTCATTCCTCAAATCTTTTACATGTATGTTAATTTCAGATCCATCTCAAACCCTACAGATCTTTTGATTTTGATTATTATTATTTAATGGTGAATTTTTGTGGGTTTTCAATGCTCTCTCAGGAGTGCCAGAAAGGGAGAAGAACAATTTTCTGCTTACAAGATCCACTGAAGTGCAGAAGAAGTTCAGAACAAGAGGTGAGATAAATGGTTAAGTTTTCTTTTTCTGTTTGTGTTTCAGGTTTTTTGGTTTTTCTTTATGGGGTTTGATGATATCAGCTATATGAGTTGGTTACTGAAAATTAATTGGGGTTCCCACCACCTTTGTCTTCACTAGAAGTTATTCAAAATAAAAATTGATTATTTTATGGACATCCTTCGTCTGTGGATAGAGTAGATCTTTGAAAGTTGAAACTGCTCTGAGAACTTTAGTACCATATGCAAAGCTTATGGTGGAGACATGTCACATTGCACAGCCATTGTTATTGGCTTTACCATTAAAAACCTATCAAACTCCTTTGTGGACCAAACCTCCAGTCACCTTCTTGTAGCTTGGACCCCGTATATTTACTCTCACTTTTGCTTCTCTCTCTTGCAGACAATTTTCTGTGCACATATTTTTCACCTCTACTTCAATAAGAGAAACCCCAAATCTTTCTCAAAATAACTTCTTATTCATTGATCAAACTGCTCATTCACTACCCATTTTCAGTTTGTGGAGATCTGTGTGCCCCTGTCACTATTCACTGTCCTCTATGCCCAAAACAATTCTCCATTAATCCTTTAGACACCGGAGTTTAGTGTAATGTTTAGGTAACATATATAATTAATCATAATGAGGATTTGTGTAATTCCTTAATTTGATTTGTGGATCATCCTTTGTTTTAGAATCTTTCAGTTTTCTTGTTTGACAAATTGTTTGTAGTTGTATGTGAGTTGTTTGGTTAGGCAGATATATATATTGTGGCAACATGCAAATAGGTCTTTTGTTTGGAGTTTTTGTGTAGTCTGATATTACAACTTAAAAGAGTTTTGTAGGTAAATTGAACTTGCTTCTCCTCTAATCGCATTCATGTGTTGAACCATTTCTATCTAGCTAGCATTATTGCTTATATGACTGCAATTTTCCTCTGACAATATGCTAAATTCCTCTGTGAAGTATAATGGACTGCAATTGCATATTTCACGTCCAAATTAAAGTTTGAGATGATCCCTATTTGTTAAAATAGAAATAAAAATACTGCTTAAACTAGCTATTTTGCTGGGTGGTGGTTGTTTAATTATGTCTCATACAATCTTTTCATATATTTGCTCCAATTATTAATTAATGACTAATTACGTTTGTATGTGTAATCAAGAATAAAACCAGAAACGTGTAGGATTTATATATACTTGCATGCGTTAGTTTTCATAGATACAGTTTTTTTTTTTTTTNGAAAAATGAATGTTAATAGTACAAAATTAAACCAAGTAAATAAAGAATGAAAAAGAAATTTGTCCCAAAAATTTAGAATATCATTTTCATGACTATCTTCAAAAAGATCCACTATTCATTTGAGAATAAATAATATATTAATGGTCAGTACTTTATATACTAATTCTTTAACTAAAATATTTGGTATAGATTTATTTTTGGAAGGCAAGATTCTTTTTTTTGTTTTCTCTAGTATTTAAAACGGGCAGTTAGGAAAAAAAATATTCCCAATGTGGATTAATTATGTATATTATATGATTTAATTGGGTCTGAATGTTTAATTAACATTGTCGGTGACCACCTAAACCGATGATGGTGGTGACCCGTGAATCAAGGAGCAATATATATATTAATAAAAAGAATATATTCTTAAGACACCAACGTCGTCAAAATATACATATAAATTTTATGCATAACGACATAAATTTTCATATAATATATGGTGGATGATTATGGAGATATTAAGATGCGGTAGTGGTACTAGGTTTATTTTTTGGGCATGAAGAAAAGCAGATTGCTCCACTCAAAACGATGAAGGAACATGGCATTTGGTGGCCATGTGAAACTGCTTCAGTAATATTCTCATATCTATACCCAATTATTATTTTAGCTTAGGATCTGGACCTATCTGTACCTGTAGATATGGGAATCACATTCCTATGTTTAATATCGATTCTTGATTTTTAAATATTTGGAGTTTAAGAAACTGCTTGGATAGCCATAGCTGGCTAAAATCTAGCCCCGTTTGTCCTTGGCAGGAGAAAAACAAAAATAAGTCTTGATCCCGTTATTAATTTCACCTAATTTGGACGAACCCTCAGTCCCAGTCAGGACAGATTCAGAAATTTAAAGAAAAAAGCATTTCACATAAATAATATATACGAAATTAATAAATATATTCATAATTTTTTTGTTATATCAATTTATAATTATCTCATTACTTAAATAAAGGTATATATTAAGTTTTCAAAAAAAAATTATGCTCATTTAAAGAAGTTTTATCTTATTTATCTATTGAACTCTTATTAAATGTTGGTCGAATTTTTCATCCCAATTTTTGTCAGTGGACTTTCTAGTCAATTTCAGTATGGTTGTCCAGATTGAATACTCAAAAATTAAATATTTTTAACATAAAATGATGCAGCCAAAAAATAACCCTATAGGGTTGATGGTCAAGGATGTTTGCTCATTTACTTGAGCTTCTAAGTTCAAATTTTGGGATCATTTGCTACAATAATATTATGATTTATCTGGTTCTTTGAATTTATAAGATGTTTAATAGACTGCAAATATTAGTTGAGATATGCGAAAGTTAGCTTGGACATCCAGGTTAGCCCCCCTCCAAAAAAAAAAAAAAAAAAATGCAGCCAAAAAGATCGAAAAAAATATTGGAATTATGGTTGATATTTTTTTTATAAAATGCGTTAAGTGTAAGTAAATTAAAGAAGGTGATGTGGATGCAAAATGTGAAGAAATTAAACAAACTGATTCAGGAAGAGCCAAAATAACGACCCTATAGAGACTGGTCTTAGACGTGGCAATGAAATAAAACAGAAACAGGAGCAATAATATTATTTTAAATTTCAAAAGAAAAATAAGAATAATTGAATCTTGATATTCAATGCATGCAAGATTATCATACTGACGTGCCCCCAAACCCTAGCTAGCTAAACATTAAAACGTAAAAACGTATAGTAAAGCAATTAAATGTTATGACTTTGTGGTCAACATTAAAACGTTGAAGTCAAACTTCAACCCTAGATATATATAATAGCAATTAGCAATCTGAGGATGCATTTAGGAGTAGTGATGGGAAATTTTAAATACTGAGAGACAGAAAATTGATTGAGGTTGCTTGTGATGGAGAGATTGAGATTGAGTTGAATATAGGTAGCTAGCTCGCGTTCGTCAAAATCGATCTGAATATCCCCACCATGACTCAGTTTTTGTAACCAAATTAACTTACAATATTTGAGGACCCCAATTGAATCTTTAATTAAGAGCTATTCAAGCTTATATATATATATATATATATATATGTGAGTGTGTGTGTGTGTTCTGAATCAGAATCACAAAAACGTCGTCCTTGCCAAAGCTCTATCTATCTCTTCTCTTGTTCTGTTTCTGGTTCTGCCCTCTTCAAAATGCATCAGATTTGGACAGGACAATCGTTTCCGACCACAGTCACGTGGCTAGGTGGCCCCTTCCGTACAACTCCCTTCCCTCTTTCTTACTTCTTTTAACTAAACCACCCTTCTTCCCACGTGACGCGCCATCCCCCTCCACCCTCTCACAGTCACAACTTTTTACTCATTAAATGCACGCACAAGCCTCACTGTTATCATTCATTCATATATATATTGGTTATGTGGTCACAAAGAGAAGATTCATATATATTATACTTTTTTTTTTTTTTTTTTTTTTTTTAACTTAAACTCATGTTTTCATCGATGTCACTTTCTTCTTCCTTCCATAGTTCCATTTCTTTATATTGAGAACGCAAAACCTCTCTTCAAAAGTAATCTTAAAGTAATTATGAAAAAAAAAAAAAATCTCATTCAAATTAGTTTTATCACGCCTATGCCACTGGAAGAATTTTATTTCCAGTTTAGATCCACCAAGTAGGCAACTAATCCCTTCTTCACTAATGAAAATGTATAAAGTAAGGGTATAAGCGAATCTCTATGATAATGAATAGAACAACAAACATATCAAAGTATATAAGAAACACATCATGTTGTAAACACCGTACTAAATAAAGAACATTGACTATCGCATAGGAGACAAGAAATGAAGACGTGAAAATAATATAGAGGAACAGTAATAAACTCTTCTTTCGTCTTGTCCATCAATTTCAAAAACCATGAACAATTTGCTTTTCTCATTTCATATTACTAATTACTATATCAGACAAACGACATTCATTTGGTTTGCTAAAGTTACATTTTGAGAATCGAATTCGAGAGGACTTTTTCCTGACAAAATTCCATGGGGACGCTTGATGGAGCGAGAGCATCTTTAAAAGAAGAAGGGAAAACGAAAGTGGTAGGTAATCACAAATTGGGCGGCAAAGATTCCCATGTGGCACTTTGCAAATGAACGTCAAACCATTCTTAAGGCAAACGCTCCATCCATCAAACCAAGCAATGATATTCTATATTGATATAGAAAAAATGGCACATTTCATGGATTTTAGAGCGTGGGATCCCTATTCTATCCCAAACATTGACAATCATATAGAGTCATTAAAGCCTTAAGGCCTCTTGTGGTTGTTTTTATGACTTTCTTATATTATGCAACGTGTACAGATTCCATCTTTCGTTTTATTCACCAAATTACATATCTGATATATAGGATTTGGCTAGGAAAGAAAAAGAATAAACCGGTTAGGTTGTAAATACATATATGAAAATGAAGTTTTAATTTTTTTAATTTTTAACAATCCGACTTATGTTAATTATCAAGCAATTATAACGGGTTCATAATATAATTCAAAAATGGAAACATAAATATACAAATTGATATAATAATTTAATATCAACTATTTTACGGAAGTGAGTGTCAGTTGTCAAATCGTGTACAAGGCTTTAATTTTGAAATCGGTATCACAATCATTATCGTATCGTAGGGTAAAATATTTAAAAAACAAATTAATAAAATAATCAAAAACTTCTAAAAAGTAATATCACTCTAAATTAATTAAAGCTTTTTGTGGTATTATGAACTTTTAAATTTATGGTATTACATACTCCAAATTGAATCACAAAATTAAGAATTTATGATTATTTTATCTCAACCCTCATTCTATTTCCAAGATCAACGTCAATATCATGTTTTCAATTGTATTATGTGATATCACGAAAAATGGGTAAAACACATGTGCTTCTTCACTTTCTTCATGTAAACTGGGTAAATGTGGACAAGTTTTAGTAAATCGGATTGACGTGAATCTGGTTTCGACCTGAAATTTGTTTGGAGTTTTAGCCCAAATAATAAAAATCATATAAATTTGTATCGGTATTTTTAAATTAAGAACGGATACAGTTTGTTCGTATGATATATCCACATAATTTAAAAGGTTTAAGATATATTTTTTAATTATATATTGATGACTTATTCACAGTGTATTATATAATATATATATAAGTACCGAAAACTACGAATCATATTTGAGTGAATGTATTATTTAAGCAAATCCTAATTAAATTCCTCGTTAATGCTATAGAAATAATCACATCAATTCTTATTTCATCTGTAATTTCAAAATCCGTAGAGAGTGTATGTAAGACACACGGAAAACCTGAAACAGATAAAAAAATCAAAGATGGCAGGTGTACCGTGTGACAAACTCAAATAAGTTTCAGGGCGAGCATGATTGATGATTTGATAGGATAGAAAAGCAAAGTTCAGTGGGCCAACAAAATAAAAGAAAAATCTCAACTCTGCAACAGCCACGTCATAGTTGTACGGAATGGTCTTCTGTTCAGGTGAGGAGGGGATGAAAGAACTCTATCAACTTATGTTTTAATATTTATTGTATTATTATATATTTTTATTTTTCTATAATAAAAACAGTTATTAGGTTATCCAGCACGGGTGTGTGTAGTAAAAGCAAAAGGTGCTCAACGTTTCGTAAACAAATAAATTAAATAAAAATAAGGATATTTTATTTTATGTTTATGAAGTGATGTTTGATAAATTTTTAAAGTCATTATCAAATCCTTCCGAATGGGAGCGCTCGGGTTCTAATTAATATCATGTGATGTGGTACGATTTTAGTAGCTTTTTATCTTAAACTACTTTTAAGCGGGAGTGTATAGCTAGGATTAGAACATTCTTGTTAAGAGATTATATAGCGAGTAAAAGACTTATTCCAACTAAAATATAACGAAATCCCCGTTGGTAATTCAACGTTATTTATTTCAAAATTCCACCATAAAATAACAGTGT